ATTCCATTGGGTCACCTCTCTTTGACCAACATGGATCTTTTCCAGTCAGTTGGCCCAGGTAGCTGTCTTCAGAATTTCTTGGCATAGACAAGTGAGTGCCTCCAATACTACATTAGTTTGTTGAAAGATTTTAATTTGTATTCAATCAATCCCAAGAGCCTTGATCTTTGCCAGTACCTTCAGTGTACCATGGGCTTCTTCCTTCAATACCATTGACTCTTGATTATATGCTAACTCTTGAAATGGTTGAACATCATCCATTTCTTTTTGGCATAGTGACGGTATTCTTTTCATCTTCTTTTGATACTTTCTGCATCGTTCCAATATTTTGCCCAAAGAATCCTTCAGTATTTCAAGTTGTACCTTGAATATTTTCCTCAGTTTTTTTCAGCTTGAGAATACTGAGTATGTTCTTCCTTTTCGTTTTCTAACTCCAGGTCTTTATATATTTTATTATAATACTTGACTGTCTCTTCTCGAGCTGATCTTTGAAATGTTCTGTTCAGCTCTTTTACCTCCTCATTTCTTCCATTTGCTTTAGCATCTCTATGCTGGAGAACAAGTTTCAGAGTTTCTTCTAACCTTCATTTTGGACTTTCTTCCTTGTTTTGTTAATGACCTTTGCCTTTCTTCTTGTATGATGATCTTGGTGTCATCCCACAATGCTTCTGGGTTTTGATCATTGGTGTCTAATGCACCAAATCTGTTCTTGAGATGATGTCTAAATTCAGATGGAATATTTTCAAGGTCATATATTGGCTCTTATGGTGGTAGTGGTGGTGATGTGCCGTGGAATCGGTTCCGACTCATAACAACCCTGTACAGGGTTTCTGAGGCTGTAAATCATTATGGGAGCAGGAAGCCTCATCTTTCTCCTGTGGAACAGCTGGTAGTTTCGAACTGCTGACCTTGAGGTTAGCAGCCTGACTTGTAACTACTACACTACTTGTTTTAATTTTCTTCAGCATCTGTCTGAACTTGTATATGAGCAGTTGATTGTTCCACAGTCTGCCACTTGCCTTGTTTTGGCTGATAATATGGAGCTTTTCCATGGTCTTTTTCTACAGATGTAAGTTAGTGTGATTTCTTTGTATTCCATCTGGTGAAGTCCATGTATATAGTCATCTTTTATATTGTTTAAAAATGGTATTTACAGTGCATAAGTCATTGGTCTTGCAAATTTCAGTCATGTGATCTCCAGAATCATTTCTATCACCAAGGCCATATTTTCCAACTGCTGATCCTTTCTCTTGTTTCCAGGCTTTACATTTCAGTCACCAATAATTATCAATATATCTTGATGATGGCATGTATGATCAATTTCAGATTGAAGAAGTTAGTAGAATTTTTCAGTTTCCTGATTACTGGCTTTAGTAGTTATTGCATAAGTTTGAATAGTAATGGTATTAATCGGTCTTTCTGTTTTTGCTGTTGAGTTGTGTCAAGTCAGCTCAGACTTCTAGCAACCCTATATAGGGTTTCTGAGGAACAGCTAGTGGATTTGAACTGCTGATCTTGTGGTTCAAACTGGCCTTGTGCTCCATTGCTACAACAATGTCACACCAGGACATATGGATATTATTCTATCATAGATTGCATTATACTTCAAGATCTTGAAGTACTCTTTTTGATGATGAATGTGATGCCATTCCACTACAGTTTGAGAATACTGCCATAGAAAGCCACGTGGTTGTCATATTCAAAATGGCCAATGCCTAGGATGTCAATGTTTGTGTGTTCCATTTCAGTCTGACAACTTCCAGTTTTCTTAGATTCATACTTTGTACAGTCCATGTTCCACTTCTTAATGTATGTTTACAGCTATTTCTGCTTATGGTGTTGGCAATTGTCTCTGCTTTAATCATCGATAATCTTCAATTAGGGCATGAACAAGATTGTTTCCTCACAAATCATTGTGGGTGATTTGCCACTGCGAGCTCTGAGTTCAGCATTGCCTTGTCTCTTCTTAAAGTGAGTTGTCCATTTTGTTCACTGCTTATTTCTTTGGGACACTTTCCTCATAAACTTTTCATGAAGCAACAGTGATTTCATCATTCTTCCACCCAAGCTTCACTGTAAGTGTGACACTTGTTCTTGCTTCAATTTTAGTGGAATTCTTGTTTCTCTGATAGGAATTCAAACTGACGTCTTATCCTTTTTAGTGTCTCAGATTAGATCCTGTTCAAACAGGTTACAACAGGTTGGTACAAGTTTATTTTGGTGCAAAAAATTGTGAAATCATGTGTATTTTTTTTTTAATAATACATTAACTTTTAGAAGACATTTTACATTAACTTTTAGAAGACTACTCATAAAAGTATGTAAAGTAAGAAAATTGGACATAGTTATCCTCTTAATCCCACACCTCAGGAAACATCACTGTTGCCCTTTAGACTATTTTATTTTTGTGCATATAGACAGGTACACAGCTATAAAAACATATAACTACAATTTTTAAGTAATACATTTGTAAACTATACATTGCGGACATCTTTTGATGATAGTAGTTCAAGCTTTTCTACATTCCATTCCATTGGTTGATGTATTTCCCCATTCCCTTATTTTGATAGATTTCGTTCCTAATTTATTTTACAAAGTCCTGGTATAACTCTGTAGGATAAACATTGGACTAGTAATCACAAGGTCAGGGGTTGAAACCCACTGGCTGCTCTTTGGAAACCCTATACAGAGTCACTATGAGTCAGAATCAGCGCAATGACACAACACCAACAGCTTCTTTTAAAAGTAATGTAGTGAACAGTCTTGTATATATTTTTCCTACTTGTTTAAGGATTTCTACAGGACAAATTTATATTGGGAGCACAGTGCCTCCATACGAAAAGCACTAGGCTTCGAAGCACAAACCCATGGTCCGATCCCACTAGCTGCTTCACAGGAGAAAGATGAGGCTTTTTGCTCCCCGAAGATGTAAAAAGCCTGGGAAACCCTGTGCAGGGTTGCTGTGAGTCAAAACCATCTCAACAGCACTTAACAACAGTAACAAATTTATATTACTAGATTGAAGTATATGTACACACCTTTAACATTTGACATATGCTATGAAATGACCCTCCAGACAACAAGGACTAGTTTATAAGCCCACCACAGCCACTCCTAAGAAACCCTATAGAGGGTCAGTATGAGTCAGAACCGACCCGAAGGCACTTAACAACAGCCGATGAGAGTTTGTTATTCCTACATCTTAACAATAAACAATACAGTCACTTACTTCTGATCCAGAGGGCAGGAACTCTAAATAATACGCTTTAAGATTATTTAGTGTTTTCTCTGGCATATGGTTCCTACAGGTAACCTTCAAGAGGAGTTATTTTTGAAATTTCCCTGTCCTCATATTGATTCCAAGCCTGCTCCGGTACAGAATATCACAACGGGCTTCCTTTTTGAAAACCAAGTGTGGAATATCTTTATTAAGAAGTGTCTTTATCATTCATTGCCAAGTGCTTTCAGTCTTGATGATTCTTGATGTTGTTGTTGTGATGTAGCAACCCTGTAGAGGGTTTCCGAGGCCTTTTTTCTTTTTTTTAAATCTTCAGGGGAACAGAAAGTCTCATCTCTCTCCCACAGAGCAGCTGGCGGGGCTCAAACCCTAGACCATTAGTTCTCAGCTCAGTGTTCAGTGTATGGAGCCACCGCACTCCTAGACTATTCCTGATAGGACCTGTCAAGTCAGAATATTTACTTAGAGGAAGCTTCCACTTTCAAGTGGGAATTCAAGTCATGTTGCTAATGAGCCTGCCATTCCTATTGCTAAAATAGATGTGTGATCACTTTTGAAGTCCCCTTTGAGTTTTACTGGATCCTAGGTCTGTGTAGTGATTGAAAAATCATTTAAATAATTTAAAGCATAGCAAAGGAGACTTTGTTAACAATCCAAACAGACTTTCATGGATTCTGCACTGTATTTATATTTGTTTGTTGCTTGCTTGCTTACAGGTGGATTCACCAATGAACTTGAAGCACCCCCATGACTTAGTCATATTAATGCGACAAGAATCAACAGTTAACTACCTCAAAGAACTAGAGGTGAGGCAACTGGGCCTGTGAGACACAGATGGAACTTGCTGCATTTCACTGGAAACCCTATACAGGGTGGCCGTGAGTGGGAACAGACTCGACGGCACTTAACAACACCAACCACAACAGTTGAGTCGCCATGAGTCTGAATCCCTTCAACCACAGTTGGTTTTGTTTTTTAACTGTCTTCAAAGAAAAATTAAAGCATGGTATGTGTTAAGCTTGCTTCTTCCAACTTTTGCAGGAATATACTCCCTCTAGATCATGTTGGGTTTTTTTTTAAATCGTTTAATCAGAGTGACATGTGAGCAATAGTAAGAGGAGCAAATGAGCTTAGCCTGATTTTGATGCCTTCCTTTTGGCTCACTATATCCTTAAATAAAGTTTCCATTTTCAAATTTTTCCATCAAATGTGAAGAGGACATAAGATCTGAAGATATTTCTGGAAGAAGAGGTTGGATAAAATCTCAAAAGAATTTTTAATACCCTATAAGAAGATAATTTTTGTTTCTTCTCAAGCACTAAAAGCTAGGGTCTTATGTGTTCTTATGTTTGGAATAAAAAGTATTATTCACTTTGTACCCTGAAAACTAAAAACCTGATGCTGTTGTTCTTAAGTGCTGTTGAGTCACTTCCAACTGGTAGCCATCCCATATAGGGTTTCCAAGGAGCAGCTAGTGGATGTGAACAGCCAGCCCTGTGATTAGCAGTCCAGTGCTGATCCTACAGCGCCACACCAGCAGTCCTAAAACCTGTTGCTAGTCATAAAATCTGAACATTTTTGCTTAACAAACAAATCAGTCATCAGTTTTGCCTTTCTCTATCATTGGTTTCTATAAAATAATTTTGATTAATAGCCAACAGTAGTAATTACTTGAAGATGAAGTTGCTTTTCCTTGTAAAAGCTCTGCATGCATTTATATGTGTGTGTGTTGTTGTTAACTGCTGTCAAGTCAGTTCCAACCCACAGTGATCCTGTATAGGGTTTCCATGGAGCAGCTGGTAAGTTTGAACCACCAACCTTGGGGTTCAAACCAACCTTACAGGCCAGTGCTTCATCCCACAATGCCACACCAGGACTCCATGTATCTGTATACACACACACACACACATACAGAGTTTTATAAGGAAACTCTGTATGTGTGTGTGTATGTAGGGGATGTGGTAGCTCTGTAGTATAAGCATTGGACTGTGTACCACAGGGTCAGCGGTTCTAGCCCACCAGCCACTCCGCAGGAGAAAGACAAAGCTTTCTGCTTTCGCAAAGATTTACAGCCTCAGAAACCCTATACAGGGTCGCTATGGGTCAGAAGTGACTGACGTACTTAACAACAGCAATATATATGTTCATGTACATACATATTATATATACATACACACATATATATGTTCATGTGCATACATATTATATATACATACACACATATTTTGGGGAATTAAGGGGGGGAAACTTGTAGCACATGTTAATTAACTCTTCATAGGAAGTAATATTTTTAGATTATTTATAGTACTAGAACACTTAAGCAGTTTTTTCATAGTCTCTCACCTTATCGCTACCAGTTTTATCACCTATAAAATTTAGAAAATGTTGATATTTATGAATACTAGGAATAATACAACTGGTATATTTGTAGACTCTTTGCTTGGAATTGGGAATCTCTTTTTATTTAAAACATTCTTCTGAAGGATGTATTAGGAAACACAGGTTTCTCTTTTCAGATGCATAAGCTCTTATTGTATATATTTTTTCCTGTCTTTTGTCTTAGGAGGTAATATGATATCTAAAAAGAGGATTTAAATATGAGTTTGTGTAGGTTAAAATGGTGTTCACAAGTCATTAAAAATATAAATTTGCAAAATGGTGATTCTACTGATTTTGGTTTAAAGATTTACACCCTCGGAAACCCTGTACAGGGTTGCTATGGGTCGGAACCGACTCAACGGCACTTAACAACAACAAATTGTACTTTTATACTTAGTACACTCCTATTGCATATAAAGAGCTATGACAGATAAAATGCAGAAATCAAAATCAAAGTAAGATTTACTCAGGCTTAAAAATAATATAACTTTGCCATGACACAGAAATGGAAGAGGAACATTAAGTTCTGCAGGTGGCTGGCCTGCTGGGGACTGTGGTATCTATCTTGCGGTTGCTCTCTGTGGAGTAAAGGAGATTGGCAGAGTCCATGCAAGGTGAATGAATAAACCAGGTTTACTGCTTGGTGACAGGATAGCACGGTCTTGCTCAGCAGAATCTGAAAGAAAAACATGGATCCGTGGCCTCATACAAGTAGTGTAGCAGGAAGCCGAATAAACACTGATGGCCAGAAATGGAACTGAGCCATTATAAAAATGGCAAAGGGGAGGTGTCTAACTTCAGAGTCAAGAGAGAGATTCCAGGTCAACAGAATCAGCTGCCCACAACTGATTCCTAGCAGGTGGAAGTCAGACATGCCTTCACCCTCCAGCCACGTAACCATTCCTAACATCAGCCATCCCTCCCACTGTTCTCCACTTGATTAAGTGCCCAGGGGTAGTCCACTCCTGCCCACAGCCACTCAGCTTTCTGGGTTTGTGGGTCCAGATGTCCACTGCATGGTCTCCGGGGTCTTCGGCCTTTGATGCAGCCACTCTCTCACACAGCTGCTCTCCATCTCTCCCTGTGTCCAGGGTCTTCTGGATCTAGGCTGGCGCTCCAGTGCAGGGGTCTCCGTCCAAAGGAGGCGCTCCTGGTCTTCTTACTTTATAATGTCGACTTCCCCTCCTCACCTCAGGCTCAGGTCAAAACAAACCAATCCCTGTGCTTCCACGCATGCATTTGCCTGAAATGGACTCCATGGCACTTAACAACAACTCCCTTATTTACATTATTAGCAAGCAGCTGGCATTTGCATTGGAGTCCTGGTGTGGCACTTAGGATAGGCACTGGACCACAGGGTCAGCTTGAACCACAAGGTCTGTGGTTCAGACCAACCAGCAACTCTTCAGAAACCTATACAAGGTCACTATGAATCAGAATCAACACCATGGCACTTAGTAACAAGAACAACTCTGTGATTTTGATAGCAGTGGACTACATCCTTCAAGGTCAGCAGTTAGAGCTCACTAGCTGCTTTACAAGAGAAAGATGAGGCTTTCTGCTCTGCAAAGATTTACACACCTCAAAAACCCTACGCAGACCCAACGGCACCACCAACAGCAATTCAGTCATTTGGTGGGAGTTACAAGGCAAGGCCATGTTGTTGTTGTTATGTGCTGTGGAGTCAGTCCTGACTCATAGGGACCCTGTCTAGCCTTTCCGAGGACCACCTGGTGAGTTTGAACCGCCAGTGCTTATGTTATAGAACCACGTCGTATTAAGTCAGTAACTGCACCATAGCTATTCAGTGGCTCAATAATTAACATGAATTTCCCAAATTTTGTGGAACGGAATATTACTTTGGGCTAGTACCCCAATCTAAATGATAAGATCTAAAGCTAGACTTGACGGGGTATAACCCAGAAACTACAGCAAAACTACTAGACACAAAGTGAGTGAGCCAGGGAGGCTGTTAAGTGCCGTCAAGTCAGTTCCACCTCATCACAACACTTAGAGGTCTCCCAAGGAGCAGCTGGTGGGTTTAAACTGCCGATCTTGTGGTTAGTGATCCAGTTCTTATCCTACAGCACCACACCAGGATTCAAGAATAAAACTACTAGACACAAGGCAGTGAGCTCAGGGGGGTTATGAAGAAAGACTCTCACTCATGAAGAGGTAGCAAGGATGACCCAGGTTTTTTGACTTGAGTGATTAGAAGGCTGTGAAAGTTACTGTTTCATTAGTATAGTGCCTGCATCTGTGAGTGGTAAATACATAGTTGTTGTTGTATATTGTCAAGTCGGTTCTGACTCATAGTGACCCTGTATAGGATTTCTAAAGAGCATCTGGTGGGTTTGAACCACTGATTTTGCAGTTAACAATCCAGTGATTATCCTACTGCACCACACCAGGACTCTAAATACATAGATTTGTTGTTGTGTGCCGTCGAGCTGGCTCCAACTCATAGAGACCCTGTATAGGGCTTTCAAGAAATAGCTGGTGGAAGACAACAAACAAGATGGCGGATCAGGTGGAAGTGCAGTAAAGGCACTCCGTCAGCAACAACACAGAATACCCGACCAAACAAGCTCAGGGGATGGTCCCAGAACTCTGAACCACATATAAAGGAATATTTAGAAGGTTGGAAGGCTCACAGCTGGGGGAATTTGTGGCAGAAGCA